CCGGTAAACAACTTTCCGTTGCTCGATTCAGTTAGGAATCGAGCGAGATATCGTTTTCTCACTCCCATCACCGCCGGCTCCTGCCACCTCCCGGCGCAACACCTTCTTCATCTAGCTACTAATCTACTAACCCTTTGCTCAAACTAACACGGCCATCTGACTCGCCCGCCTCTCAAACCCCCATCTACGCTTTCTCCCTGCCCGATTTCGTCAACGAGCGGGCGGGCTCCGCTAACTCCACCCCTGCCATCTTTGCATGCACCCAGACACGAAACGTGACCAAGTCCATTTTCGCAGTCTTTCTCCAACTATATCTCGGCGCAGTAACTTTTCATCTAACTCCTTTCTCTTATTAATCTTTTACTAACTCTAACTACAGATTCAGACTCGCCGACCTTAAAACCTCAGTTTAGTCTTTTCTCTCCTCTTGATTTACCATGAATCGAGTAGTACTTCGATCCCTCATTCCCACCATTTACTCATCCGCCATAGCTCAACGCACTAATTTTTCTACTAACCTCCTATTCTGTTGTACTAATGCCAAAACTAACGCTGTCATTAGACTCGCAGCTCCCCAAAACATTGAAATCCCACCTTCGCTTGCCCGATTCCATTAAGTATCGGGCAAGATATCTGATTTCCCCTTACTCTTGGCTATACCCTGTTCGTACCCAGGCGCGGCCGCGGTCATGTTCATTCCCACGCCATCTACCTACTGCCCGCCTTCCCGCAGTCCGGCTTCCTCCTTCGTCACTCCCCTGCTGTGCCGCGCATGCTCCCGCTGGTGCATAGCGCAGCCCGGCCTTTGCTCAGCGCAACGCCTAGCGCCCGAGCAGCCCAACCCGATCCGTCTGACGGCCCTGGCCATGCCACTCCAGTTTCCTCGTAGCCTTCTCACTACAGATGAATCCGGTGCGGGAAAGTGCCTTCATTCATTCCCACTGTCCCACCATAAATCCGCCCTGATGTGCTCCGCTGTGTGCCGCCCGTCGTTGCTCTCGCAATTCCCGACGGCTTGTTACCTGCCTGCGCTCCTATACCCGAGCCCCTACGGGCATGCTCACACTCAAAATTGTCACAGCGGACAGCACGACTAGGCCGGTATGCMAGTCAGTTGGCCCCCACCAGCGTCGTAGGCCAAGCACACAACTGTTGGCCTTTCACGTTGACTCCTCGGCCCCTTTTTCCAAGACAGGCGGGACGAAAGACTTCCCGCCAGCGCCCTAAACATGCAGGAACCCGCCGGGACCGTTAAAGAGGGCGCGTGCTCAAGGTCCTCAATTACCGTGACAGCCATCCGGGGCCGGTGTCATTCCCTACTTGCGAAAAATCAAATCATAAAATTAAACACTAATGGCAGTAAATAATAATTAGAAGAAACTCAGAAAAAAATAACCG